GAATATAACAAAAAGTTAAACCCAAAAATAATTTTTTTCATTCTTTCGCAATGAAATTAGACCGTTTATAACGTTTTATAAATTTATTTTGAGGTAGAGTACTCTCAAAATGCGAATAGTAAAGCTCCCTTGGATAATCGACGATATATCGTCGTTCGGCATTTAAAAGAGTTAACGAAAAACACTGACCAATGAAAGTAAGCGTAGGGCCCGCGTCCAGTTGACTCGGATCGTGACACTCGGCCGTTGGTCAGTGGAGGCCTTACGCGCGCTCTCATTGGTCAGTGTTTTTCGTTAATAATTCAAAAACCATAGCTCACTTTGCAAAGGAAACTTTTGCCAAAGGAAATTATTGTTCAAAAACACCTCCAGAATCACTCCTTTTCGGCTCTAACACTTTTTCTGGAACACCCTGTACAACAATTCTATACCATTCCCTAATAAAATATTCTATCCGTTACCGATTTGCGTGATAACAATAAATTGTACTTGACAGATGTTGTTTCTCTGGTCGAGAGAGCCAGCCCCAGGTCCGAGAGCAGGTCCCTGGTTCGCATGGTTCGCCACAGCCCTGGTACTCTGGCGTTGCCGCCGTAGCGTCGCCAAAACGATCCTAGCCGTGTCGCCGTTGAGACTGTTGAAACGACGGAACATACTGCCTCTGGCGACGTCGACCAAGTCGACGGGGACGCTCGTGAAACACCGACACCACCAGCACCGGATACGACCGGAGAACCCGATACTCCAGCGGAAGCACAGGCACGTCGGCATCAGAACGAAAGTAAAGCGACTGTGTACCGGCGACGGGCCGCACGTGACCAGTACGACGTTCGCGATACAGAACCAGCAAATTCATTACAAAATGACGAGGAGCGGGAAGGTGTACGGGAAATATCCGAGCAAGAACACCGTCACTGCCGCCGTCCAGGAGAACCACTGACGCCGCGGCCGTAGCCCGTTTTCGTCTCACGTATCGGCGACGCTGTTAGCCACCCGTCGTCGTCGCCGTCGTCGTCGTCGCTGGTCGAACGCGTGTCCTGCGATCTTCATACTTCCCAGGCCGATGTCAGATCGTCAGCTCGAAACACGCGTGCACATGTACCAAACGCATAAAAGTAATTTCGTTAAAAGGAATATCGTGTATTTTTTGCTATGTATTAATCATGACGCTGTGCTCTTCTGTTGAAAATCGTACGACTTTTATGATCTTTTTTATGGTGGAACAAATTCAGTTTGCTTGGAATAAAATATGTTTAGATATGTGTTCTTGGCGATGTTTGGAAAAATTTCACGGGTTTGTATCGTAAACAGACTGCGAATTTTATGCATTTATCAGAAATGATTTAACACTAGAAAGACTGAAACTTAGTATATACCTATATTGCCCAAA